AGAAGAAGAAGAAGAAGAAGAAGAAGAAGAAGAAGAAGAAGAAGAAGAAGAAGAAGAAGAAGAAGAAGAAGAGATGCCCACCCAGTCACATGGTCACCCCTACCTAGCCGTACCCACAGAACCGGTTGTTAAAAAGCTGAGAGGCAAGATAAAGCAAACATTCAGCACATTGTGTTCATATAAACAGAGGCAATCAAGCCCAGCAGTTTGTTTGTTTTTTACTGGCAGGGATTGTGAAATTGACCAGGAAGTGACTGGAAGAATCATTCATTAACATTGCTCTGAAACCCACCAGAGAACTTCATGTTCAGACGGGGTAAGGCCCCAGTTTTTCATGAATGGGATAACGATCTACCCCTAAGCCAGGAGTGGGATTCAAATTTTTTAACAACTGCTTCTGTGGGTGTGGCTAAATTGGTGGGCGTGGCTTGGTGGTCATGTTATTGGCTGGGGGTGGCCAGCAATATCACTCACATCGAGGCACGCATCTCCTCGCCAGGCCTCTCATGACTGTGGGGATGCTGCAACAGTTGTAAGTGTGAAAAATGGTCATAAGTCACTTTTTTTCAGTGCCATTGTAACTTTGAATGGTCACTCCACACAAGCAAAGTACCAGCAAAGGAGGGGGGGGGAACTCCAGAGAAGTTCCTGAGACAGGAACTTGTCAAGAATGTAATAAGGGTTAACAGAGAGGCAGTTTCTGTAAGCAACACCAGAATGTTTCCTTCCTGCCTTCCTTACAGGATTAGGCCAGTAATTTCTTCTAACAACCGGTTCTCCAAACTGCTTAGAATGTTAACAACCGGTTCTAGCAAATAGGTGCGAACTGGTAGAATCCCACCCCTGCCCTAAGCTCTGCAGAACTGCAGCACTGCAAGTAAATCTTGTTCTCACAAGCATTACTACCTGTAGAATGTTGAACTTGTAAGGAAAATGGTAGGGCTCCACACATTCCTTCTTCCATTGTTTTTGCCAAATTGCAAATGGATATTTAATCTGCAACTCAGACAGAGTTGGGGGGGGAATCACCTCAACTGCACAAAGAGGAGGAGGATGCAAAAAGTAGGCTGCCTGGTACCATGCTAAATTGGCATAAATGTTCTTTGTGAAGCAGCCCTCCATTTGCAGAGGTTTGACCAAAGCATTCAATAGCAGCTTTCTGTTCAGTAGACATCATAATTGTGCAGGGGGAACTGCCCCGGATCTAATATCCCTTATTTTTCCAATAGCGTGGAGGGTATTGGTGCCCTTGCTGTTCTTTCTGTGTACTGTAACTGCACTGAAATGATCTATGCCTGCAAAGATGAAAGCATAATGATGTGAAAACAATCTGTACTTATATTGCTATAATGAGGTCTGGCTTTTGCCAAAGGATGACACAGCATTAAAACAAGCATGCTCAGCAGTGGTAGATTTGACAAGTAATTTTCAGAGAAGTACAGATGGATGAACTCTGGGTGTTCTTATCTGATGGCCTAAGAACTGCTTTGTCCTGTAAATTTTATTTTATTTTTTTCAAACACAAGATCAGATAGGTCTTCCTGACAAGCATGCCGTTTATTATTGTAGTGACGCATTTCAGTAACATGCCCACCCAAACTACTGAAATTATTGAGATCGTCTTTGTAGTCCAAAACAATATGAATTAAAGATAGTTAGGTGCATTTCACTA